TGCTCTCCTGGCTTCTCCCACCCTCTCCCCACCTCCAGCCACCACCATCGCCACTACAGGTCTGTTCAGTGAGGCTTCCTTGCCCCTGTCATGCATGGGCGGCTGGAGCACGTACCAGCAGGTAGTGTGGGGTACAGCTCTTGCCGCTGTAAGCACCCTGCCGGGCGGAGCCCTCACTGTGAGCCCATCCTTCCTCAGCCTCCATCACTGCCATAGGGGCTCATGAGTGACTGGCTGTGACCTGTTAGTCCTAGGCAGGTTTGGCTCAGTGCCCATCAATGTTCCAGCTCCCTGCCTCCACTCCCCACCCCAGGAATGAGCAGGGGAGGAGATGAGGGAACTGAACTGGAACCGCCCTTGGGGGAAGGAGCCTGGGCAGGGGTCAGAGGGCTTTAAAGAGGAGGGAAGAGAACAGATGAGAATACCTGGGCTCCTTTCTTAATCTCTCCCCACTGTTGACCACCCATGGCCAATGTCAACTCCTAGGGGTGCTGGGGGTGGGGGAGGAGCTGGCTGCAGGCCAAGGTCCCCGCACAGCCCTTCCATCTGCTGCTGCTTTATTTCAGAGTTGTTCTCCAAGCTGGCCCTTTTCTGCAGCCCTGTGGGAGGCCTATTAGTGAAAACTCCCTCTCCCCTCTCATTCTCCATCCCAGCAATCACCCTCAAATGACATAGCGGAGCCTCTGCAGGGTAGGACAGAGGAGAAACAAGTAGGAGACAAGGAAGTGGCGAGGAGGGAGGGGGATGAAATGAAAAGCTGTAACAATGAATTGGTAAACTACCTCCTCTCCCTTCCAAGCTGTCCAGGGTATAGGCCCATGGCAGGCAAAAGCTGACTTCCCATGGTTCCTGTTCATTTCATTCCTACCCATAATCATTAAGCACCTACTTTATGCCAGGCACTGTGCTGCATGAATAGAGCCAATCAGATTAGTGTGTTAGGGAGATAAAAGATAATTCTACCAGGCTCCTATGGTCCTGAAGCTTTGGGACAGTACCTGCTGCGCAGCTTTAGATCTCCAGGTTACAGCAGAGTTCCTGGCACCTTCAGCAAATGCTGTTGTATGAATTAAAGATTCTTTAATGATTCATGTGACATTGCACAGAAAGGAATGAGCAAGGCAAGACTGAGAGCAGCAATCATGGCAGGGGGTAGCAGTACAGAATAGTGGTTAAGAATATGGACTCTGCAGTTAGACGGCCTGAGTCTGGCTCTACAACTTACTAGCTGTGTGACCTTGGACAAGTTACTTGACTTCTCTGCTCCTCAGTTTCCTGACTTGCAAATAGGAATTGTTCTGAGGATAAAAGATGTCTATAAAGTGACGAACACAGTATGGTGCACATAGTAAGTGCTGGAAGAGACCACCATGGGGCTAGAGCAGTTGCAGTGGGGGTGGCATGTAAGGAACAGATACAAAAGATATTTCACTTGTTGAATCAACCAGACTTGGTGCCTGACGTGGGAGAAGGAGGGACCTAGGGTACCGGGTTCCTCACTCAGGCAGTGGTGGGGCTTCAGGGAGCAGGGAGCTGAGAGAGGGAAGGCAGCAGGAGGAGGGGGTTTTGGATGCACTGAGTGTGAGGCTTCCGTGGAGATCCAGGAAGCTAGGGGGTCACCATGCGTAGAGCTCAGCAAAGAGACCACGGTGGGGGGAACACAGCCCAGAGTCAAAGCCTGGTCCAAGAAGCCCTCCTCACCCGTCCCACCCTCCTTGACTCTTCTGTGGGAGCCTCTGCCACCTGCCCGAAGCGAACTGAGGAGGGCTCCAGGGGCTTCATGCCCTGGCAGGAGCTCACTGTCCAGGCAGACTGTGTCAAGGGGGCCTGCTGCTCAGCTTCCCTGTCTACCTGTTCCCCCCTTCCCCCAGAGCCAGTGCACACAGGTGTGGGGAAATGACCTTGGTGTGCCCCCATACCCCCCCCCCCATGCAGGAGCTGCCAGAATGTTTGAGAGGCAGGATTGCTAGTGATAAAGCACACAGACTTGAAATCACCTGGCTGGAATCACCCACTGCTCCACCACTTTCTAGCTGTGGGACTTTGGGGAAGTCATTTAACCTCTTCATGTCTCAGCGTCCTCATCTGTAAAATGGGAAAACTATGATAACAACCCTATCTCATAAGGTGGTTGTGACAATGGAAACAGTGAATATTTATAAAAATCAAGAACAAGGCCTGGTGCATGTAAACTATTATTATTATTGATTATCTGTCCCAACACACCTGCCAGACATCTAGTGACAATCAGAGGAGGTGGAGGCTGCACCAGGACATGGCATGACTGTCCCCCAAATGACTAACCATCTGGCCTGAATGTCTTCCTCAGGCACACTCCCAGTCCCCTCCACGCTCCAGGCCTCAGCCTCCATCACATATCTCCTGAGCACTAATGCCACCGGCTAGTCCCCATCCAGGAGTCCTGAGAAGGGAAAAGCCTTCCCCACTTGGCTGGAGTCTGGTGGCCCTGCCTGCTAGCAAAAGAAACAGGGCAGGTGGAAGGTTCAGTCCCTGTGATCTCTTTGTACTACCAGTGAGCAGGTAATCATCCCAGGCCATCTCCTCAGTCTCCCAGAGAGGGGGAATAAAAAGGAGACATGAAAAAGGAAAGGCAAAGTAGTGTTCAGGGGGAACATAAATGGGGAAAGTGGGTTTGGGATTTTGCTTTTTACCCATTAGTATGACTTTCTTGGATCCCTCTCCCCAGGAACCCTCCCTCCATTTCCCTTTCCTTGGTATCTTCTCCTAGGCCATGTTAGAAGAATGAATAGAGGCCTGGCGTGGTGGCCCACGCCTGTAATCCTAGCATTCTGGGAGGCCGAGGCGGGAGGATCGCTCAAGGTCAGGAGTTCGAAACCAGCCTGAGCAAGAGTGAGACCTCGCCTCTACTAAACGTAGAAAGAAATTAATTGGCCAACAAAAATATATAGAAAAAATTAGCCAGGCATGGTGGCACATGCCTGTAATCCCAGCTACTCGGGAGGCTAAGGCAGGAGGATTGCTTGAGCCCAGGAATTTGAGGTTGCTGTGAGCTAAGCTAATGCCACGGCACTCTAGCCCAGGCAACAAAGCGAGACTCTGTCTCAAAAAAAAAAAAAAAGAAGAAGAAGAAGAAGAATGAATAGAATGCATACACAATATATGTAGTACGGCATAGGGGTAAGTGGAGACACCACCTGGATTCAAACTCCAGCTCCATCATTTCCTAGCTGTGTGACCTTGGCAAGTTACTTAATACCTCTGAGCCTCAGTTTTCCCATCTATAAAGTGGGGATAACAGTAGTACCTACCTTATAGGATTGTGGCAGGGGTTAAATATATGAAAAGCACTTGGAACAGTAGCGGTACACGATAAGCTTCTGTGGTTCTGCTGAAAGGTCTACAGGTAAGCAGGTGTCCTGCCTCACTCCCAGCATCTTTCCCACCTGCCCACAGCAGGGGCAGCAGGAATAGGAAATAGGGTAGGGGACCCCTTGCTGACCCCACTGCCAGTCTCAGGAAACTCTCCTGCAAGAAATTCTAGGTCAGGCCCCTGGCCCCAGCAACCTGAAACTCTAATCCATCCTCCCCTCAACTCTTTCTCTCATGCATACCTGTGGCTCCCAGCTTGCCATCCTCTCCTGCCAGAATCCAGGCTGTTCTTCCTCCTTCCAAATGACCAGAACTCGGGTGGATGGGTTTGGGTCAGATTCATTCTCAGGCTCTCCTCCCTCCCCCTAGGATCATTTAAAACCCCACCAGAGTTTCTCAAAGTGTGAACACAACAGATGGCCTGACGTGCTTGTTCAAAAGACAGATTTTCCATTTCATACCAATAGAAACTGAATCTGAATTTGTGGGGATGAAACCTGCAGTATTAAAATGCAGAAAGATTTTTATACACATACACATTAAAATTGGGATTTTAACCACAATTAAAATTCCTCTCCCCCCTTTAAGAAAATAATCAGCGGTGACGGGTAGGGGCTTGGCATCCCAAAGGAGGGGGTAAGAGGCTTCTTAGAGATGTTTCTCCCCAAGTCTCAACAGCAAATGGAAAGGGGAGGAGATGGGGCAAAATGGGAGTGAATCCTAGAAAGCTGGGGCGGGCGTGCGCCACCCTCCAAACCTTCATTATCCTCCTGAGCAATCACAGGACGCCACGCGAGCCGCTGTCCCGGGGCCACTGTCTCCCCGCCCTCTCGGAAGCTGGAGTAGGGCGGAGAGGGCGGCTCTGGCCACCTGCGCGGTGGTGGAGACTGAGGCCCAGGGAGGTGTGGGGCTCAGTACTGAGCCTGCAACACCGGACTCCGCCTCATCCTGCCCGGCCGCCAGGGAGCGCGCTGGGGGGGCGTGGCCCACTACAACCCCCTTCAGTCCTGGAAGCTCCGCAACAACTCCGGCCCGCGTCCATTCCCGAGCGCGGTCCCTCCTCTCCAGCCTCAGTTTCCACACCCGCGCCCGGTGTGTGTGCTGGGGCGGGGGGGAGGGGGCGTATGTCCGGGAACGCGACAGTGGGATGCTCGGCAGTGGGGTTCCCCACGGGAACGCCGCCCAATCCCCGCCCCCACCCCACCCCCACCCCGCGCTGTTGGAGACCCAGGACCGAAACAGGAGGCAGACGCCCCCGGCCGGGAAGCGGCCCCAGCCCGGATTTCCCTCCCGGGTGGGGCCCCGCGATGACTCACCCCCCGCCCCCCTTCCCCCGGTTTCCTTGTTTGCATTTCTCCTCCCGGCCACGTGGCGGCCGGGGCAGCCACTCACCGCCCCAGCCCCGACACCCCGGCCGGCCGCTGCGGCTCTTGCACACACCTCAGGGCCGCTCCTGCCCCTCGGGGTTCCTCTGGGCTCCGGCTCGTGCCCGCTCTACGTGCCCCGGAGTCGGAGTCGGGACTCCACCTCCAGCCCATGCCCGCCCCCTTCCCCTGCGCCCTCCCCTACCGTAAATCGGGGCGCCTTCTCCCCGCCTCTTCAGCCCGTCCGGAGGAGAAGGGGGCGGGCGGCGCAGGGGGTGTGACAGCTCCCGTCCGGACCAGTGCCAGCTGCAGCCTCGCTTCAGCGTCCGGTGCCAGCTGGCTCTTTCGTCTGGGACTAAGGCGGAGGCTCGGGGCTCCCTGTCGCTGGGGGGGCTACGCCCCCAGCCCTTTACTCGCCCAAGAGGAGCTTCTCCACCAAACCCTGCTTCTTGCTGCCCCGGCAGCCGGTCCGGCTAGGAATTGGTCCTGTTCACTGCACCCGGACTTACTGCCAGCACCCCTCAGCACCTCTCCAGCACCCCTTATCAGAGCTGACCGGGCTCCCTAGGGACCCCCAAGCTTTTTGCTAGAGCCTGCACAGCTGTGCGAGCTTCAGAAGGAACATGAAGGTGGGTAAGGTGGAGTCAGGGTCGAGGAGGAGCAGGAGAGGGCGGGAGAGGAAGCAGACACGGTGGGGAGTTTGGGTGGGAGAGAAAGGGTTGGTCAGGGGTGAGGGAGGAGGGGAAAAGAAGGATTTGAGCCAAAGCTGCATTTCTGGGGGATCCAGTGAGTCCATAGCCTCATACTGGGAGGCGGTGGAGATCCCCGCAGGGGCCTGCACAGTGGGGTGGGGCAGAATTCCAAAGAGGACGGACAAGGGCCTGATCTTCTCCCTGAGCCAGCTGGAGACCCCTAAGTGCGCCAGACCGGCGGGCCCCAGTGAAGGTCTTCCTGTTCCTCCCCCCCGGCTCCTGGCAGGGTTGCAGCACCTCCGCCTGGCCAGTGCAGAGGACTCTAAGGAAGAGGTTCTGCCTGGGGCAGTAGTGCTGTGGTCCAGCTGCCCCAGCCCCTGTCCCATGGCTGTCCACCTTCCTCCCCACACCATAGGTGGGCTGGCCAGGTGAGAGCCGCTGGCAGGTGGGGCTGGCTCTGGAGGAGAGCCCAGCCCTGGGTGCATCGCAGGTGGGAGGCCTCCCTGACGTGGTGCCGGAGGGGACGCTGCTCAACATGGTGTTAAGGAGGATGTACCGGCCCCGAAGCTGCTCCTACCAGCTGCTGCTGGAGCACCGGCGTCCGAGCCGCATCCAGGGGCTTCGCTGGGTGAGTGCCCTTCACCTGCCTAGGCCAGAGCCAGGCACAAGGGCTGGAGGGGGGCCTAGATTGTGGTTCGGACATGCTGCTGGTGGCCCAGCTTGCTCTGGGGGCTAGGGGTGCAGAGTGGCACAGCTAGGATGGACAGTGGGTCAGATGAAGCTTGGCTGCAGTGTGCGTGGGCGGCTCACACAGCTGTGACATGTGTGTCTGCATGTGTCATGCCCAAGTGTCCCCATTTGGGCACAGGGGTAAGAGGAAAAGAATTTGTCATTTATCTGTCACCTCTGTGTGCCAGGCATTGGATTAGGTGCTTGTGTGTTCTCTCCAGGTGGGGGTGGGAGGTGTGGGGGCCAGGTCAAGTAAGGGGTGGGGTAAGCTTGGTTACTGTTCTTGGTATGTTGCCATGGCAACATTCTCCTTTAGTGAGTGCTAATTCTGCATTTTCTTCTTGGGGTGAGGTGGTTATATGGACACTACTTGGCATCTCGTTTTGGGGGGCTCAGGGGAAGATTCTGAGAAGTTTGGAGAATCTGAGATGTTGAAGCTCCCTTTGCCAGTGAAAACATCTCTGGAGGTGATAGAATGAAGGAGAAAGCAGGCAGGGAAAAGAACTGTGGGGTTGGGGACGGGGGACAGGATAATGGCTGTAGGGTCCAAATCGGCAGAGAACCACCCCAACCACTCAGACTTAATAGATTAACTTCACCTGAGATTCAGTCATGTGCCTGTCGTGCGTGTCCACCATGTGTATATGGGGGGGGGGAGGCCATAGGGGAGTGCCAGGAGGACACCTGGGTAAAGGGGTGGAGGGAAACCAGGAGTGGGTGACAAACTTGGAAGAGCTCATCTCAATGGTGAGTCCTTTTGAGTAGAACAACCACCACCTTCTCTCTCCTTTCCCCTACCTTGCCCAACTGCCCTTTATATTACCAAAATATGTGGCCGAGTTGAGGAAACTGAGGCTTGCCAAGATGAGGAGGTCCTCTCTACAGCTGAAATTGAGAAGAGAATCCAGGTGTTAGTCCCAGCTCTCCCCGAGCCCTCTCTACTTTGGGCCTTGGGTCCTGCCCCCATACCTCCGGCTCTCTGGGTCACTGGTAGTAGCTATTGCTTGGAGCCAGTGGGCTGGAACCCTCCCTCCCTTCTTCCCTCTCAGGCTATAATTACTTGTGCATTTCCTGTCCCCCTCCCAGCTTGTAGAAGCAAGGTAGGGGTGGGGGGAAGGTCAGGTGCCAGGACAGTGAGGTCACTGGAGGATCCCCTGGGACCTGCTGTCTGGGAGGGGGTGGAGGAGCCCTCCAGGCTGTCTTTTGACTCCTCCAATCCCCCAGAGTTGAAAGGCTTGTGTGGGGGGAGGCCGGAAATGTGGGGGTGAGGGTTGCTTGTGTGTAAATGGGGCCAAAGGCACAGAAACAAGGCACCTCCCCTGCCAGATGGGGGTCAATGATCAGAGGGAAGCTAGGTTTTTAGGGCTAGAGGCAGCGGCCGCACCCTTGCTGATGACCGTCTCTGGGGAGCAGGGTGGGGTGGTTTCATTCCACTCTGCCCATGTTAAGAGGCTCTGGGTACCTGTGAAGCTGTGCCTTGATGCCTTGATGATGATGACGCCTTTGGCTCAGGAAGGGCTTCCATGCAGGCACAAGTGCCAGCGGTGAGTCTGCACACACAGGGTGAAGGAGGTGGCGCCCAAGTCCCAGCAGGACAGCATTGGGAGTTGTTCAGGCCAGACCTACTTCTTAGAAAGCCAAGGGGCAAATCCATCAACCTCCCAGAAAAGAGGTCTAAAGAGAGTTCTTTCTGTTCCTACCTAGACCAGGACAAGAGAAAATGAAAGCAGGTTTTAGGCTTTCATCCAACCTGTTCAAATAATGGTGGTTATATAGTAGCTAATAGTTATTTAGTAGTTATGTCCCAGGAACGATTGTAAGACCTTTGCCTTTATCATATCAAAAAATCCTCACAACAGCCCCATGAGGTAGATAAATTATGTCATCATCCCCATTTTATAGATGTGAAAACAGAGGCACAGAGAGAATAAGTGACAGGGCCAGGGTTACATAACTGCTAAGTGGCAAAGCCGGGCATTGGTGCCAGGCAGGCAGTCTGGCTGCAGAGTTCAAGCTCACAACCACCGTGCTGTGCTTCTTTCTCTGTTGCTACAGACAGTAGCACTGAGACCCAAGGCATCACCCCTCCCCATGCATCCTTCCCCTGTCCGGCAGCCACACACAGCCCTGGCCTGGGACCTTAGCCATGACCCAAGGGAACTGGTCTAACGGGTCCCCACACTGTCTGGCTCTGTGCCTGCCCCTCCAGCCCAGCTCTGACAGGGAGGGAGGATGGGGCAGGTGACTGCTGGTGCCAGTGGAGCTAGTCTTCTCTTCCACTCGAGTCCTTCCTGTGTAGGAATGAAAGGAGTCCTTCCTGTGTAGGAATGAAAGGAGGAGGTGGGCAAGGACCCTCCCCTTGACCTGTACCAGCTGCATCTTCCCAACTGAGAATCCCTACGCTGACACTCAGTCATCAGCCCAGGGACAGGGTCAGCTGTGGGACAGCAGTTTTTCACTGTGTCTGGGTAATAGGGCCCATCATGAAATAAAGTTCAATCAAGCCATTTAACATTTACCAAGCAGTTGCTATGAGCCAGGTACTGCTCTGAGCGCTTTATAGTATTAACTCATTTGATCCTATGCCCTGTAGAGTGGGTACTATTACCATCATCAACGCTAATTTACAGACGAGGAAACTGAAGAGAGCTTCGGTAGTCACAGTGACAAGATCACTCAACCAGGTGGTGATAGACAGCCAGGACTTGAACCCGAGGATCTGGCTCTGGAGCCTACACACTTGTCCACTGCCCCTGAAGAGTAGCCCTCCCTGTCCCATCCCGGGAGGCTCCCATGCACACGGGCGTTCTCAGGGCACAGAGGGGCTGTGATGACAAGCCTGCCAAGCTTTGTCTAACCCAGCTGTTCCCAAACTTACCTGCGCTTGGAACTTTCTGAGGACAGCATGCCTCGACTGCCTCTGTGTCCAGGGGACATGGGGACAGCAGGGGATAGTGCTGAGATTAGCACAGCCAGGGGGTCAGACAGGCACAGTGTGAGTCCTGGTGCCCCTGTTTACCAACGCTTAGGGCAGGTTATGTAACCTCTGAGCTTCCTTTTCTCTAGCTGTGGAATGGGATTCAAATCCCTGCTTCCAGGGGCAGCACTGGTAGCAGGAGAATCGCTCGTTTCTGAGTAGCTGTGTGACTCTGGATAGGCTGCCTCATCTCTCTGGGCTTCTGCTTTCCTTGGCAAAATGAGAGGGATGCTTTAAGGTCCCTTTCTCTGTGCTGGTAGGCCAGAGCCCTGGTCTCTGGCCTTGTGCTGGTTCCCTGGGGGACGACAGGAAATGACCAGCCTGGTCACATGACCTGGCACCTCCCCTGCTAACCTGCCCTCCCAGACCAGAATAATACCAGGAAGGGAGCTGGTGCCGGAGCCTGGGTCATGGCACCAAAGGGAGTTGGGGCAGGGACTGGGGCCACCTGTGCATTTTGACATGAACAATAACAAGTCATTAGCACTCAGGCACTGTTTGTTCCGACAGAGGGGGCTGGCTGGGTAGCATTCCTGCCCTTCCTCCCTTCCCCCCGACTCCTCCTCCTCCTCCTCCTCATTTCCTGTCCTTCAGTCTCCAGGGCTCCGTGTTTGGCACTGGGCTGGGCCCCATGACCCGGGCAGGGATACCCTTGGGACACCTAGTGACTTCCGCCCAGCCCTGGGCCAGGCGCCTGTGCACGCCAGACCTCTGCCTGGGTACACAGTGGCAAGATGCCTGTGCTCAGGGCCCTGCCAGGACCCGGGCTGGTGTACCCCAGCACCACAGCGCCCCAGCCACGTCCTTTTCAGGGACCTGAGGGCAGATGGGAAGGCAGGAGAGAGGTTGCTGGGGAGAGGAAGGGGGAAGGAATAGGAAAGGGGTAGGTGTGGAGGGTGGAGTGGGACCAAGAATGCCAGCACTGCTGGGTGGGAGTTTGAGTTTATCCGTAGCTGTCTGGCTGTCTGAGTAAGTGTGACTGAGTTACACAGGCACTTCACCTCGAGACTGTTGTTTCCTTGGAAGTCACAGAGGACAGACAATACCTGCTCTGCCTATTTCACATCTGGTCCTATTTATTTATCTATTTATTTACTTATTCATTCATTCATTCATTTAGACAGATGGACAGACAGACAGACGAGATCTTGCTTCTTTGCCCAGGCTAGAGTGCAATGATGTCATCATATCTCACAGCAGCTTTAGACTCCTGGGCTCAAGCGATCAATCCTCTTGCCTCAGCCTCTCAGACAGAGCTAGAATTATAGGTGTGTGCCACCATGCCCAGTCCAATTTTTAATTTTTTATGTAGTCATTTTTAATAACTTTTCCCCCTATGATTTGCATTCTATACAATGTTTAAGAAATATTTTCCTACTTCAGTGTTAAAGATATTCAATATTTTCTTCCAATTTTTTTTTTTTTTGAGACAGAGTCTCACTCTGTTGCCCAGGCTAGAGTGCCCGTGGCGTCAGCCTAGCTCACAGCAACCTCAAACTCCTGGGCTCAAGCGATCCTCCTGCCTCAGCCTCTTGAGTAGTTGGGACTACAGACATGGGCCACCATGCCTGGCTAATTTTTTTTATTTTTTGTAAAGATGGGTCTCACTATTGTTTGAGCCCTATGGTCTCAACCTCCTGGGCTCAAGCAATCCTCCCACCTCGGCCTCTGAGAGTGCTGGGATTACAGGCGTGAGCCACTGTAGGACCTAGTGTAGTCTTATTTTATGTAGGTACCAGTGAAATCAAAGAGGTGGGCATGCTTTGTAAATTGTAAATGTCCTGCCATGGGGAGTGCTCCTAGGGCATCCTGTCCAGAGACATCCACAAGCTCCAGTTCTCAGGTGGTAGGAAAAAAAGGGTGGTGAGGGGCTTCCATGCCGATGTCCCAGGGTGTACAGGCCCGGGAGTTCCATATGGCTCCATTGATACCCAGGGCAGGGAAACCTTGTTAACCCATGTTTCTGTGATCAAGCCCATCCTCCTGAGACAGTCCTGGGTGTTGCCATGGCCTTACTCACTCTCACAGGGTACGGACTAGCAGCATTTTAGAGAAGAAGGACGCCCTCCAGCAAGAAGCCCCACCCTGTGCCTCCCAGATGAGTAACAGCTAACATGTACATACACCATACGCCAGGCAATGTTTTAAACATTCCATGTGTATTAACTCATTTAATCCTTCCAAAAGCTTATGAGTTGGTATTATTAGTGTTTTATCGATTTTATAGACAAGGAAACTAAGGCAGGGAACAGTTAAATCACTTGTTCAGTAAATGGAGGAGCAGGGATTTTTGAATCCAGAAGTGGCTCTTGGGTTTGTGTTTTTAACTACCAGGCTGAACCAAGGCCCACAGGGGGCAAGAGACCCGCCCATGGTCCTGTGGTTGGGCACAGCATCTTGGGACCAGGCCTGGGACCTCAGCCCGGGAGCGGGTGTTCCCAGGGCTCCCAATCTGCCCACATCCTGGCCTCTTGTGGGTCTTCTTATTTCATGACCTCCTGCTCCTTCCAGCTCCCTGGCTTCTTCTCCAAGGACACTTAAACTGGGGGCCCTGGCATATCTGGGCCCTGAGTAAGCAGAACAGGGTCTTGGGGCTTTCGTTTGCAGGGGTGAGGTCCTTAGGTCCGGTCTGGTGATGAGGCTGGAAGGGTGGGTGGGAAGAGGCAGCTGCCTAGGGCACAGGGTGCTCAGTGAATGTCTGCGTATTTGTTGGATGAGTGGCTGAATGGGTGCATTTGGGGTGGGGCCTTGGCTAGGTCAGAGTGATGGGGCAGGGGAGGTGTCCGTGAGCTGGGTTTGGAGGCCTCACACTGACGTGTGACCTTTCTCCACTGCCCTCAGACGCCACTCACCAGCAGCGAGGAGTCCCTGGATTTCAGTGTGAGCCTGGAGCAGGTAGGGGCCTGGGCGGGGTGGACCTGGGACCAACAGAGCAGCACCAGGAGGGTTCAGCTCTGCCCTTCCTCCCTCCAAGGCCTCCACAGAGCGGGTGCTCAGGGCTGCGAAGCAGCTGCATCGGCACCTCCTGGCCACCTGCCCGAACCTCATCCGTGACCGAAAGTACCATCTTCGGCTCTACCGGTGAGTGGAGGCCCTACCTGCCTCCTTTCCCACCCTCACCACGTTCCCTCCTCCCATACTCTGCGCCTGGGCCTAGCCCTGTTTCCAGCAGAAGGCCTCCGCTTAGGCCCTTCTGATGGAGACGTCCTCTCTCCGCCTACCCTCTTTCCACTGGATTCTGCCTCTTCTTACCTGTCCCTTCCACTTCCCACAGGCAGTGCTGCTCTGGCCGGGAGCTGGTGGATGGCATCTTGGCTCTGGGACTTGGGGTCCACTCCCGGAGCCAAGCCGTGGGAATCTGCCAGGTGCTGCTGGATGAAGGTGCCCTCTACCATGGTGAGCCCAAGCCCAGGGTGGGGTGCGCTGGGCATGCCAGGTGGTCCTGGGAGCAGGCGCCGGTGGGGAGTGCGGAGGGGAGTGGCATTGCAGTGGGGGCCTCATGCCCACACGGCCTCAATTTCCTCTCCTCCCCCACACCTGGGCCTCTGCCTCCCAGTGAAACACGACTGGACCTTCCAGGACCGAGATGCCCAATTCTACCGGTTCCCTGGGCCAGAGCCTGAGCCCACGGGAGCTCATGAGATGGAGGAGGAGTTGGTGGAGGCTATGGCCCTGCTCTCCCAGCGGGGGCCCGATGCCCTGCTCACTGTGGCACTCCGAAAGCCGTGAGTCGGGAGCCCTGCACGCACCACCCCAGGTCCCTCGCAGCATTCAGGTTCCATCCTGACTCACATTCACCTCTAAAGGCATCGCTGGCTTGCCGCTGAGGGAAGGGAACCTGGCTGGCCAGGAGACCCAGCCCTGCCCTGCGTTCTGTCATGGACTCGCTGTGTGGTCTAGAGCCGCTCCCCCACCCCCACTGAGCCTGCTTCTTCCTCTGTAAACGAGGGTGCTGGGCCAGAGGGTCTCTGAGCACCTTCCCACACTGACACTCGGTTGTGGCTAAGAGAGGGTGGGCTCTGGAATCTGTGGGCAGGTCTGGGTTCAAATTCCAGCTCCACTGGTTACTGGCGGGGTGACCTTGGGCATCCCGTGCTAGTTCCTCTTCTGTCAAGTGAGGATTGTGACGCCTGCGTCATGGGGCTGTCATGAGGGCAGAGCGGGACAATGCAGGTACAGTGCTCGGCATGGTGTCTGGCACATGTGCCCGCTACATAAAGGTTAGCCCTCTAGTGACAACAGTTGTGGCTGGGGCGCCGTCTGGCCCCACCCCTGAGCTGGGTGGTGGGGTGGCTCTCCTCCTGGCCCCAAGCCCCCAATTCCTCATGTGTCCCCGTCTGTCCCTCCCGCACCTGCAGCCCAGGACAGCGCACAGACGAGGAGCTGGACCTCATCTTTGAGGAGCTGCTGCACGTCAAGGCTGTGGCCCACCTCTCCAACTCGGTCAGTGCCGCCTGTCCCAGCCCTGCCCTGTCCCCAGGAATTGCCTCTTCTCGTGACTTCCCAGAGGCTCCAATGGCTGGGCCAGAAGGCACTTCCCTAGCCTTCTGTCGGTGGCTTGCGATTTTCAGTCTAATTTCTCACCCCAGCACTGCCCTGCCTGAAAATCCTTCTGCCTCTTTTAGCCTATTTTCTCCACTTGCTTTGTCTCCTGCTGAATCCTGGAAACACCTGGCCCAGCCACAACTCTGTCCCCCAGCACTCGTGTCTTTGGACCTAACCTTCCCCTCCCTAGCATGGCCCATCTTCACCGGAACTTGCTGCCGCTGACCCTCCTCTCCCCACCCTGCAGGTGAAGCGGGAGTTAGCTGCAGTTCTGCTCTTTGAGCCCCACAGCAAAGCAGGGACCGTGCGTAAGTCGAACAGGAGACTGCAAGCTGGGCACGGGGCCTGGACGAGGGTAGAGGCCACGGAGGAGGAGTGGCAGGTGCCAGGAGGGCCGTGTCTGAGCTGTGCTTCTCTCAGTGTTCAGCCAGGGGGACAAGGGCACCTCGTGGTACATTATCTGGAAGGGATCTGTCAACGTGGTGACCCATGGCAAGGTAAGCCCTCCCCGCCTCCTGCCCTAGCCCCTGGGTGGTAACTGCTCCCTGGTCCCCATCCTCCTGGGCAGCGCCTTTGCCGGCTCCTGCCTGGCAAGGGCTGGAGGTGGAGTGGCTGTGACTGAGGCCTGGCTGCAGGGGCTGGTGACCACGCTGCACGAGGGAGATGACTTTGGACAGCTGGCTCTGGTGAACGACGCACCCCGGGCGGCCACCATCATCCTGCGAGAAGACAACTGTCATTTCCTGCGTGTGGATAAGCACGACTTCAACCGAATCATCAAGGTGCTGCTGCTGGGGGCAGGCAGGGGACACACGCCCAGAGAAGCGTGTGGGGCAAGGACCAAGGGGCCTGTAAGGGGCGGGGAAGGTAGGAGATGCAGACGCTGTGAGGGGACCATGGCCCTCGGTGTGCGAGGAGGTGGAGCCCGTGGCATCCTGAGCGGGCTCAGCAGGACCAGTGACCTCAGGCTGGGTGTGGGAGGCCGAGGGAGTGGTGGGCTTCCGGAGGTGGGGGACTAGGCTGCTGGGGAGGGGTGCTGGGGGGCGGGATCCACAGGGGGCGGGGAGGGGGAGGGACTCCCACTGTGAGGCAGGGGAGGCAGAGCCAAAGCCAGCGGGGCGAAGGGCAGAGGGCCTTTGTGGGACCCTGGTGGGGTCAGGGCCCAGAGCGGTGGGAGGGTCCGGAGCAGAGCCATGGAGTGCTGAGCACCGCGCGTGTCTGTTCTCCAGGACGTGGAGGCAAAGACCATGCGGCTGGAAGAACATGGCAAAGTGGTGCTGGTGCTGGAGAGAGCCTCTCAGGGCGCTGGCACCGCGCGTCCCCCAACCCCAGGCAGGAACCGGTAACACACCCACCATGCTGCCTCTCCCGCCGTCTCTCCTTCCATTTCCCAGTCTTTGCTCCTGCCACCGCGTCATCTCCCTGCCCCCTGGGGTTAGCATGCACCCCTGGGTCAGCCTCCCCCGACCCTAAGTGGGGAGAGGGCTGGCAAATCGAGAAGAGTGAAGGGATTGATTATTGATGTCTGTCCTGGAGCGGGAGTGGGGAGCAGTGCCGTAAGTGTGATGAGTGGCCGTTTCCTTAGGTATACGGTGATGTCCGGCACACCCGAGAAGATTCTAGAGCTTCTGCTGGAGGCCATGCGGCCGGATTCCAGTGCTCATGACCCCACAGGTAGGGGCAGCAGACACCCTGCCCGCTCTCTGACTAACTGGGTGGTCAGCGCAGCCCGGGAGAGGGCCAGACATGCGGCATCTGCCCTCGTTGGGTGCTGGATTGGTCCACACGGCCAGTTGGCAGGAAGTCCTTTTACCTGTGCTCGTGGCTTGGGGGGAGCGCTGTCACAGGGCTCGGCATTGCTTGTGCCCTGCTCAGGGTGGTACGTGGGGAGGGCCCCTCCAGCCGTCTCTATACCTGTGCTCATCAAACTTGGCCTCTGAAGCTTCCCCCTGCCCCCGGCCCTACAGAAACATTCCTCAGCGACTTCCTCCTGACCCACAGCGTCTTCATGCCCAGCGCCCAGCTCTGCGCTGCCCTCCTGCACCAATATCCTCCCAGCCCCAGGGGGACGGACGTTGTGCACAGGGAGGGGGTGGCACGTGGAGGGTAAGCCTCATCAGCGTGGCTGTGCTGAGCCCTCTGAAGCCAGCCAGCCTCATGCCAGGCCCAGCTAGTGTGGGGGCCCTGGGCATCCTGCCCCTCCTTTGCCTGAGGTGTGGGGGTGGGCCCTGTTGGATGTCGTGGTTCCCTTGACTGGTGCCCACCTTCCACGCGGAGCCCGCGGGGGGCAGCGAGCAGGAGCGCAGCACCTACATCTGCAACAAGAGACAGCAGATCCTGCGGCTGGTCAGCCAGTGGGTGGCCCTGTATGGCTCCATGCTCCACACCGACCCCGTGGCCACCAACTTTCTGCAGGTACCTGGGAGGGAGGCAGGGCTGGGCGGGGCTGCCCGGGCTGGACACAGCCATAGCCGTGTCAGTGAGTCTGGGCTCTTCGCAGAAACTCTCAGACCTGGTGAGCAGGGATGCGAGGCTCAGCAACCTGCTGAGGGAGCAGTGGCCGGAGCGGCGACGGCACCACAGGTTACGCTTTGAGTCTACTTTAAGTGTCTTACCTGCAGCTGGCAGCACCCCGAGGCTGTGAGCACACGCTCTGGGGTCAAGCACCTGGCCTCAGAGCTGGGCTGTGCCACTGATTTCAGGGTTGTTCTCTGTCCCCTTGCTGTTCACCCCCATGCCACACGTCCATCCTTCCTCCTGCGTCATTTGCTCATCCTGACATCCCAAATGCACCTGCTGTTCTCACTCCCGCCCTTGGGCACATGTGTATTGCTGAATGTCCCCAGTGCCAGCTCCTGATGGCTCCTCCTGGTACATCTCCTAGAGCTTGCCTCGGGCTTCCCAGACATCCCCATGGGGGCAGCGCCCCATCGGAGACACTGGGCCCGAGCTGGCCTTGGGCAATCACAACCTCCAGGGGCTGGGCTCACACCCATGTTGGCCCCTCTCCCTGTGACACTTACCAAGTCGTGCCGACCTTTGAGCCGCTGGTGAGGGCAGGATGGGGTCCAGAGCCCCTAGGGACACCCCCCCACCCCACCAAGGTCGCCCTGCCCCCAGGGATAGCTGGCCTCACCTCACCTCTGTTCTGTCTTGCTCCACAGGTTGGAAAATGGCTTTGGCAACGCATCTCCTCAGATGAAGGTGTCTGCCCTGTGATGTCACCTCTGCCCGGCCCCAACTGCTTCCCTCTGCTCCTCCTGGGACTGGGGGCCCTTCTTTCAGCTCCCGCTCCGAGGGGCTCTGTGTGGGTGGGAAGCTCCCCTCCCATGCCCTTGCTACCTGTGGCACCTGAGGCCAGGCCCTGCTGGGGAGACACAGAGGTCTAAGGTGGCACTGCCCTCCCCAACCCAAAGGGGCTTTTATTCCTTTTGGGAGGTAATTCATGCCCACAGTTACAGCCTGGGAGACGAGGAACCAGGGCTGGAGGTAGCTTCTGAGGCCCAGGGCTCGGGGTGGCCAGTGCTGTGGGAGGAAGGAAGGCGGAGGCCCCTCCCCAGGGTCAGAGGTGGCTCAGGCCATTCCCAGCTGGGGCCCAGGGGGAGCACAGGGGGCACGAGCAGGTGAGACTGGAGCCGAGATTTGGTTGAGGAACGGAGGGAGAAAGGACTGGAAAGGTAGACTGGGTTGGCGGTGGGGAGTGCTGTGTCGGGAATACAACCCAGGCCGGTCACCCAGCCAACAGGCTCTCGTGCCCAGCCGCCTGTCCATCCCACCCTCCTGCTCGCTGGAGACAGCAGCTGGCTCCTTTCTGTAGGCGAAGCTTGTTCTCACCTCGGGGACTTTGCACTTGTCCCTTAGCCTGGACGGTTCTTTCTCTGGCTCTTGGGCTGACCGGGTCCTTCTCATTGTTCCAATCCCAACCAACATGCTGGGCTCCCAGAGAGGCCCTTCCCATCTCCCCGTCCAGGGCACAGTCCCCTTTCCCCCACCACTGCCCCCAAGGCATCCTTCATGATTTTCTTCAAAGCATTCCCACCACATGGAGTTTGCTTTGTCTACTTGGCATTGCTACATCCCATGAGAAGGCCAGTTTCACTCTCAAGGGGCTCTGCCTCTGCTGCCCGCGTGCCCACATGCTGAGTGGCACGTGGCCGACACTCAGGAACCGCGTGGCATCGCCCTCGAGTGCCAGGCACTGGGCTGGGTGCTGATGCCGCGCAGTGGGCGGGGACAGCCAGCCCTGGCCTGTGGGACTCACAGCCAAGCTGGGCACGGCTGTTAAATGGGCTCCAGGCAGGGAAGCCAAGAGGGAAGGGAGCCCCGGAGGAGGGAGAGCGAGAACTGACTGCAGAGGAGCCCAGAGTCGTCAGGGGCGAAGCCTGCAGGCCCCCCTGCGCCAGGGACGGGGTCTGGCCTTTGTCCTGAGAGCAGTGCAAACCGTTGAAGGGATCTGAGCCAAGGGTTGGCCAGGTCTGATTTGCGTTTTGAATAGGTCAGCGCTTTATCCCGCGGACAATGACCACCATTGAAGCTGGGTTAGGAAGCTTAATTGGGCTCTGGTCAGGCAGATTGGAAGAGGCGGCTGGAGGCTGCAGGCACCTGGGGGGGAGACGGAGAGAATAGTTGGGCCATTGTGGTAGATAAGGGGTGAGGCCTCCAGGCAGGTGGAGCTGGAGTTAGCCCGGGCTAGGGGGAGGAGGCTGACACCCATCTCAAAGCCTAAGCCGCAGCTTTGGCAGGGTGACATGCCACGCGGGAGAAGGGCAGGAGTGGTCTGGGAGGCAGGACGAGGGGGTCTGGTGGGTGTGTTGTTTGGGGTGATGGGTCACGGATGTGGAAGGTCCAGGAGGGGAGTGAGACCAGGACTTGGACGAGAGTTCAGCACTGGTGGTGGCTTTGAGACTCAGGGACATGCAGGTGGCACTGAGGCAGTGAGGAGCTCTGAAGAGGCCCTGAGATTTGGAAATCTAGGGCGGAACTGTGGGCTGAGGTCTGGACCTGGAGGATCTGCCACGTTTGGAGCTGGGAGGAGGAAGAGAGTCAGTGCCAGAGTCGGGAAGACGGTCTGGGTGGGAAGAGGAACCTGTGTCGGGAGCACTTTGCGCAGCAGGGCCTGCCCCACAGCAGAGGTTTGGCGGTGGTTTGGGGTGCTGCACCCTGCTGTGGGGTGGGTAGGGCCACTGACACAGTAGTGCTGCTGGGTAAGGGAACAGAGGGAGGGAGGGCAGGAGGGAGTCTAGCTCTGCTATGTAGCAGCTGTGTGGCCCTGGGCATGTTACTTAACCTCTCTTAGCCTCATTTATATCATCCACAAAACGAGAATGATAATACTTTTGCCAAAGGGCTATTGGGAATATTTAGGTGCTTAGAGCAATGCCTGGCTCACAGAGAATGGTAGCTGAAGGAGGGAAAGGGGAAAACCAGGGTCAACAGCTATAGGGTTTCCATATTAGAACTACTCTGGACCTATTTGGTTGGGGTGGGGGAAGACACAGGGGGAGGGGCGCAGACTCTTCCTATCCTTAAACCTTTTGTGTCTCTTCTTCTGGAGGCTTGGTCCTGGGCACCTTCCCCGGCTCAGGTGAATGTGGCAGGCAGAGCCCTCTGGTGGCGTGTGCTGTGCTAGGCCAATGCTCCTGGTGACAAGGGCCCTCACTGTTCCCTCCCTGCATGCTGTCCTCTGCATCTGAGCCGTACTTTCTCTTTTCTCTTCCTCCCAGGCCCGGAATGCGCCTGTTTGGCTCCCCAGCCAGGACGAGCCCCTCCCCAGCAGCAATTGTGCCATCCGAGCTGGGGACAAAGGTTGGTGGTCTGAGCCAGCCAGGCATAGCCTGACACCTGCACCCTGCTGTCTCTGCCTCCCTTGTCCCACTGATGTCACCCTTGACCTCGGTGTGCCCGAACTCTCATCCTGCCTCCCAGACCACGTGAGATGGCACATGTACGCCTCAGGGTACAGAGGAGTGTCCCGGGCTACCAGGCAGATCTGCCTCCTGCACCCCTCTCTCTGGCTCGCTGCCTCCCCACCTGCTCTGCGAAGCTCAGCCTCTTGGGGCTCCCTCCCATCACAGAGGGCTGCAGTCGCAGCCCTCCCCTGGGGTGGGAGACCAGGCAGCCCCTCCCGCACTCAGCCTGCTGTCCTCTCCAGTCTCCTACGACATCTGCCGGCCAGACCACTCGGTGCTGACCCTGCAGCTGCCTGTGACGGCCTCGGTGAGGGAGGTGATGGCAGCCTTGGCCCAGGAGGACGGCTGGACCAAGGGGCAGGTGCTGGTGAAGGTCAATTCTGCAGGCGGTGAGTGGTGTCTCTGGATAGGCCCCAAGGGAGGGTGCCCCCCTCAGATCCATGCCCAGATCCCCCAGCTTAACACCATCATCATCTTTCTCATCTTCCTAATGTGAACGACATTCAGTGTTTATGGGAGGTTTGTGACGTCTGTTCAATGTGCTTTACGTGTAGCGCATGGGAGCGTGAACTCTGGAGTCTGTGACTGCATTTGATAGCCCCTTATCTGTGTGCCCCTTATCTGTGTTCATCTCCCTGCACTAGACTCCACCACCTGTCAAATGGGGATGATGAGGATTTGCCTGCTAGAGGAATTGTGAGGATTAAGTGAGTTAATCTGTTACAGTGTTTGGAACGGTGGCTGGCACATAGTGATACACAAGTACTGGCTGCTACTATTATTATTATCATTCCTCTACAGTCATTTAATCCTAACGAATAACAATCTTGTGAGATATAGTTATTTTTATCCTATCTTCAGACAAGGAAGCCGCAACTCAAGGGTGTTAAGCAATTTCTCCAAGCTCACACAGTACGTGAGAGTGCAGCTCGCCTTGGAGCTTAGGTCGTCTTCATTCATTTAGTCATTTGACAAACATTTTTGAGGCTCAGCTATGGACTAGCAATATGTTAGCAGCTAGAGATACCACGGCAGATAAAACAGATCAGCGTGGTGGTTAAGAGTATAAACTGTGGACTGCCAGACCTGTCTAGGAAATCTTAGACCTGCCACTTACTAGCTGCGTGATCACTGGCAAGTTGCTCAACCTCTCTGAGCCTCCATTTGCTCATCTGTCAAATGAGCACTATAATTGTATCTGTCGCAAAGAACTGTGGTGGCTATTAAATGAGCTAATGTGTGTAAAGCACTTAGCACAGGGTCCGGCACAGTAAGTGTTCAGAACATGGCAGCAGAAGGATTATTATGCTCTGCTTTCAGAGAATTTGGGACATTAAAAACCACTGTTCTCTGCAAAGGGCACAGGCCTGACAGCCGGAGCCAGGGTAGACAGGGATTAGGGACATAAGAATAATGAAGAGGTGGAGATGAGAAAAGAAAAGCCATCTTCCGACAGACAGGAAGTGGGGAGAGACAGGTCACCGGTGTCCTCTGCTCGCCTCTGGGAAGCACTGCCCTCTGGTGGTGCAATTCACCCGGTGAATTGCAGCTGCCCAAAGCCCGCGTTCAAGACCCTACTTGTGCAGAGAAAGGTTTAGAGCCCTGATCTCCAAACCACTTTGATCAACACCCATGTCAGTAACCAGTATTTTAGTACAAACCCCCACTGTGTCAATCTTTGTTTATAAATCATACACATGTTACTACACTAATACCATTATTAAAGCTATATACAAAATAGAAATGCAAAACAGGTAGGAAAAATAAATACAAGGAAAAGAGCTAATATTTTTCCTGGACACATGGATAGACTTATGTACCTGACTCTGGAGGCCCCTGGTCAAGGGATTGGGGATTTAAACATGACAAAAAAACACAGTCTTAGCCACAAAGAGCTGATGAAAATCAATGCCAAGACTTATGTAAGGCATTTCCCAGTTTTCAAAGGGCTTTTTTTTAATGTATCATATTCGTATAGCCACTGCTTGTATAATTATTTCATTTGACTTCTGAAGTAGTCAGGGCAAGCCTTATTGTCTCTGTTTTCCAAAGGAGGAAAATAAGGCTCAGGGAGGTTTAAACCCTGCCCAAGGCCTGCCTGTGTCACAAAGAATCCCTTTTCGCCCTCCCTGGGTGTGCTGCCCGGGCGGTGTGGATGTGCGGACACGTGCACCTGTGTGTTTAGACACCTGCCCAGGACTCCAACCCCACTACTGGGAGAAGGGACCTCCCAAACAGGGTCTCCACCCTGGCCTCCAGCTGGCCCCTGGCCTCTCTCCCTGCCCCCACCCAGTGCCACCTCTGTTCCCTTCTCAGATGCCACTGGCCTGCAGCCAGATGCCCGTGGTGTGGCCACATCCCTGGGCCTCAACGAGCGGCTCTTTGTTGTCAACTCACAGGAAGTGCATAAGCTGGTAGGGACCAGGCGGGGTGCCATGGCCCAGGGAGGAACTCTGGGAATGGCAGGGGAGGGGTCTGGGGAAGAGTCACAGGAGAAAGGGGAGGGGCCTGGCTCTGGCTACAGCTGGGTCTTCCTTCAGTGGTAAGAGGAAGGACCGGGCCTCAGCTGATGGGGGGATTCCAAAGATTATGGGGGTAGCACTGATTGGGAGCTCCCAAGGAGAAAGAGGAGAACTGCTTAGGGTTCCCCAGGGGACAGGAGCCCTACAGGGAGGGGACCTAGCATTGGGAAGCCCCTAGAGGCCCCTCCACTCCCTGCAGTCCCCCTGTCCTTCCCAGTCCCCGTCCTACTACCTGCAGTCTTTGCCCCAAACCCTCTCCCCACACCCTGTGCCTTCCCCTGGATTCCTCAGGCACCCCCATGACCCCTCTCCCACCTGCAGACCCCACACCCCGAGCAGCTGGGGCCCACTGTGGGCTCGGCTGAGGGGCTGGACCTGGTGAGCGCCAAGGACCTGGCAGGCCAGCTGACGGACCACGACTGGAACCTGTTCAACAGTATCCACCAGGTGCGGGGACAGAGCCAGGGGAGGCGAGCAGAAGGCAGGGCGCCCAGCCTGGTGCCCACTGACCTCCCCTGTGCCCCCCCAGGTGGAGCTGATCCACTACGTGCTGGGCCCCCAGCATCTGCGGGACGTCACCACCGCCAACTTGGAGCGCTTCATGCGCCGCTTCAATGAGCTGCAGTACTGGGTGGCCACAGAGCTGTGTCTCTGCTCCGTGCCCGGCCTGCGGGCCCAGCTGCTCAGGAAGTTCATCAAGCTGGCGGCCCAGTGAGTCCTCTTGGGGAGCAGGGGGTCGGCCAGTGTCCTGAGGCTGCTTTTTCTTACCTCCCGTCCCTGCTCAGTGTGTTGCCAAATCTGCCATCCCCTTTGTTCCCCACGCCCCCTGGAGCCCCTGTGTCCCCACCCTGTCCAGTGTGGGTCCCTGCAGAGACAGCACAGCCCTGTCCCGGGCCAGGCCTGGCTGCGTCTGGGGCACTGTGGGTGTGGCTGCTTCCCTGAGGGTCTCTGGGTCTTCTGCTCACAGCCTTAAGGAGCAAAAGAATCTCAATTCCTTCTTTGCCGTCATGTTTGGCCTCAGCAACTCCGCCATCAGCCGCCTAGCCCTCACCTGGCAGGTAGGTGGGACTGGAGGCCCCGGTCCTGAGGTTAGGCCTCGGCTCCTCCTGGGAGTCCCGGCTGGGGGTGGGCGGCAGCTCACCTGTGTGTTCTTTGCAGCGGCTGCCGCACAAAGTCCGGAAGCTGTACTCCGCCCTCGAGAGGCTGCTGGTGAGTGCTGGGCTTGGCCCGGCCCTCGAGAAACCCTCACTCAGGCTCCCAGCACCCCCTCTGCCTGCCCTTTGTCACTTTCTGCATCCCCAACCCTGGCCCAGGGCCTGGCTCCTTCTGGCCTGTGAGACTGGGGGGCTGGCTGAGGAATGGGGTGTTCAGCATCGGGATGGGGGTGCGTGGTGCACTGGACCCCTCGGTGTGTGCACGTGTGGGGGCATCTGCTGTGGACCGGAGACCCTGTGTGAAGAACAGGCCAGAGTGTGTGGGGTGTCTGGTTGTGGGCTCTGGGGTGTCAGGGCAGCGCTGGGGGCTGTGCTGCCCGAGGGCTCAGGAACCCAAGGGCCTGGCACTGAGAGCCCACGTGTGCCGGGGCCGCCAGCGGCCTCTCAGGAGCGCTGACGTGCTTGTGGGCTGGACTAGCGCAAAAGGTGAGGGAAGAGTTGGGGGACTGAACTTTCCACCTCCAGGAATTTTTGAGGGTCTCGAAGTGTTCAGGAGAGAACTAGAGCAGAGGTGCTTTATCAGCATAGCCCTGGAGCTCTTGAGAAAAAAGAGCTCACCTCATGGGGCTCAAGGGGTTCAGAGGAGTTTGCCCACCAGAGAGAGAGACAGACAGAGAGAGAGAGGGACAGAGAGAGAGAGAGAGAGTCAGGGAGAGGGGTACAAAGAGAGGCAGAAAGTGAGGGAGACTTTTCCAAGAAACTCTGGGGCCCCTGTGACTAATGGCCATGAACTTCCTCAGGGCCCGTGTGAGGCCAGGGAGCCACATGCTCACAGACCAGCAGTGGCCGCAGCGTCAGGGCAGAGCCTGCCTGGCTGAGCTCTGGGGCTGAGGAGGGGCTGAGCCGGGGCTGTCCACTGTGGGGATGGGTGTGGGGCTCCTCCCTGGCGGCTGGGGTGGGCTATGGTGTGTGGGACCTCCCCACACACATTGTGGCCTCCTCCCCTAGGACCCGTCGTGGAACCACCGGGTGTACCGACTGGCCCTGGCCAAGCTCTCCCCGCCCGTCATCCCCTTCATGCCCCTCCTTCTCAAAGGTAAGGCGGCACCACCTCCCTGCTCCTTCCTGCCCATCCCTGCCTGTGCGACCGCCCTGCTGCCAGGGGGATCACACAGGTGCATGGCAAGTTCCCAGGCTGGAAGAAGAGTTCAGACACTAGGTAGAGAAGGGCATTCGAGGGCCTGGGAGGTGAGGGCACTGCTGCCGGAGCGAGGGGACAGAGCAGAGGGCAGCATGGGGTGGGCCACCTCTCCGTATTGACCTCTCCTGGGCTACAGGAGGGGAGGAGTTTGGGGACCTGTGAATAAAACCCCTCTCTTTGCAGACATGACGTTCATCCACGAGGGCAACCACACACTAGTGGAGAACCTCATCAACTTTGAGAAGATGGTGAGTTGCAGAGAGTGGGCGTCTGCCGCTGGCGTAGGTGGGGGTGTGACTGTGGCGGGGCTGGGGGGACTTAAACTTGTTATCAATGACATAAAGACGAGTGCTTTTGGTAAAGAGCCCCTGCCTCACTCCACGGCACCCTGCAGGGTCTGCTTTCCACTGGGGCCTGCCAGGGGGACAGCCTCCACATCTCCCATTCAGCAGGAGCCCCTTGTGGCCCTCTTTTCCCTCAGCCCTTCCTGACCTCTGTCCACGTCCTCTGCCCGGTCCCTGCTGGGCCTCGGGGTATGCTGGGAGGAGACGGTGGACCCCGCCTCTTACAGCCCCCTAGGAGCCCCCGTGCAGAGGGAGCCTGGACTCCCAGCTGCCGCCCGCCCGGGCAAGACGGGGCTCCCCCTCACGCCCCGTGTCGCCCACAGCGCATGATGGCCAGAGCGGCGCGGATGCTGCACCACTGCCGAGGCCACAGCAGCGGTGAGAGGGCCGGACCGGGCAGGAGCCCCCACGTCCCCCGTGAGGCCCCGGCCTGGCCCTGACTCCTGTCTCCCACCCCTCGCCCACCAGTGCCTCTCTCACCGCTCAGAAGCCGCGTTTCCCACCTGCATGAGGACGGCCAGGCGGCGAGGATCTCCACGTGTAAGTGGGGGCACCCGGGGTGCCAATTGTGCTTGGCCATCGCCGGCGCTCCTGGGCACTTCCATACGTGACGCCGGTCACTCGTCACACACCTCTGTGGGGCGGGTGACAATGTCGTCCCAGCGTAAACAAGAGGAAACAGGCTGATGCATTGAGGGAACTTGGTTAAGGCCACACGGCAAGTTAGGGACAGAGCTGGAGGCCAGGCACTGTTACCCCAGACTGCCTTGTTTTGACGGGACCTCAGCTGCACCAAGTGGGGCTGATCATCCCAGGCTCATGCCACACTGTCCCCACCGGTCCTTGGTTTTGCTCTTGGTACACTTTATTCTGATAAGGTAACGAACCGCTCTGGACCCACCCCCCGTGCGTGCCAGAACACTGACGATGACTCCCAGCTCCCACTGTCACTCAGTGCCCCACTCAGGGTTACCCCGTCCTGAATTGGGAGTCATTCATTTTCTGGGTTTTTAAAATGCCATTATTTACCACTCTCTCTCACACACACCCCTTTAAAATCCCTCATATCTAATATACGTACATATAAAATGACAAAATATTCTTCAGTTTGAACTTAGGAGCTCTGTGCTGCCTGGAGCCCAGGGACCCCTGCTCTCGGCCCGCACTCGGGGCCTGGGCTGTTCTGCCGTCAACGGCAGGGTGGGCGGGCAGCAGTCTGGGGGCAGGGAGCGCAGGGTGGCCTTGAGGGCAGGAAAGAGGTGTGCTCCTTGGAGGGAAGGGACAGCCTCCACAAAGTGTCATCTTGCCTCCCGGCCACTCTCTCCCGCCAGGCTCGGAGCAGTCCCTGAGCACCCGGAGTCCAGCCAGCACCTGGGCTTATGTCCAGCAGCTGAAGGTCATCGACAATCAGCGGGAACTGTCCCGCCTCTCCCGGGAGCTGGAGCCGTGAGGAAGGGGCTGGGGCTGGGGCTGGAGCAGGCACTTCCCGCCGGGAAAGCCGGGGCGCGCCAGGCCAAGAGGCCTGCAGACTGGCCTCGGCTGGGCAGGGCTCTCCGCAGAGTGGACTCGAGGCCCTGGAGTGGGCGGTGTGGAGGCAGCTGTCCCCCGTGATGACTGGTGGCTAAGGAGGACTTCAGAGTGGACCTCAGCTGCAGCCCAGGGCTAAGGAAACGGGGCAGAGAGGCCCTGGGAGTGGGTGGGGAAGCCGTGTTCAATAGAGAGCTCTCCACACCAGGATCCTTCCAGATTCTGAGCCTCTGGCTCTGTCGTCCAGCGTGGCCAGGCCCCCATGGTTTGCTTTCACAGTGGGCAGAGAGAGCTAGCGACTGCATGTGTGTGGCATGTGTGTGGCAAGGGCCAGGGCCTTGGTCCGGGAGGGCTGTGGGGGCGGGGCGTCCTGTTTTTCTTTCCAGAGCATCTGAGATAAGCAGCTGGGTGTGGGCAGGGCTGCAGCTGGGGAGTGGTGGTCCCTGAGGAACTTTCCTGTTACCCCAGTTGACAAAGTATGTGTGTTCTGAGGCCAGCCCCAGGGCGTGTGGCGGAGAGGCGAGACCCTGCTCCGCTGGAAGCTGACAGAGCACCCTCACCCCGCCCCACCGCGTGTGGTCCCTGGGACCAAGGCAGCGCTCCAAAGTGGCTGAGCACTGCCCAGATGTGCCTCCTGGCCCGGCCTCCGGGTGGCTGGAGCCCCTCAGCGCGGCCGGGTAACCAGCAGTGCAGACCAGATGCATCTGGCCTCGTCCACCTCCTCTCTCCAATCCCTGCTCCCCTGCCCTGAGCACAGCCTGGCCTGCTGGGTGGTGCTCAGCTGACTGGGGGGATGGGTGGCCACTGGCAGAGAAGACACCGAGGCTTCCCATCGCTTGCTGAGGCTCGAGAGGCTTCTAGGAAATCAGGATTTGTCACCTGTGATGAGAAGGTCCCAGCACCCTCCTTTAGGGTGAAGTCGTCTCTTCCCTGCCCCTACAGCGTGTCCCCTGGGAACCAGCTGCTGCCAGGACCCCGCCTGCCAAACTCCGGGCAAGAACTCTTCCCCCTCTGCTCTCTGCCCCGGAGCCTGGCAGCAGGAGCGCGCTGCCTGCCTGAGAGACGCAGACCCATGGCCGCTCTCTGAGTAGGAGTGGACGCAGCAGGCCCACAGCTGGAGGAAGAGCAGGTGCTGGGACGGCCCCTCCACTCGTGCTCAGCACACACCCCTGCCTCCTCTCACCTGCACCCTGCCAGACTCCTCTCAGCCCCGCAGAAGTCATGGATGCACGTGCCAGCTGTTTCCAGACAGGGCCGGAGCCCTTAGCAGGGAGGAAGCGCAGCTGGGATTATACCTCACGTTTCTGAGCGAGTCAGCGAACAATTCTCTGCCTTCATTCTTCCATCTGTAACTGGGTGTGATGATCCCCATCCGGCTTAGTGACCAACCGGTGAAACTGCAGCTCCTGTTTCTGCACAGCTCCGTGTCCAGGCCTGGTGGAGGGGCGGCTTTGCCTTGGGTGAAGGCCGAGGGAGCAGCTGACATGGAGCAGGTGGCACCGGTAGCCAAACCAGTTCCCTTGCCATGGGTGGGGGTAGAGGATCATGGGGCACGGAAGCTTCTGGAGCTGAGCAATCAGGACAGGAGGCTCAAGCCTTGGTGAGTCAGGAGTCCAAGGACTTTCTTCTCTTCTGAGCCCATTGTCTGTTGGTGTCTCGCAAAGGCCACATCAGCCAGGCGGCCGGGGCCTGCGCCATTCCTCCAGACTGCAGGGTGAGCCCAGCCCAGAGACCGACAGAAGCCAAGCACGACGGGGCTGGTGCCCTACTCCAGTGCTCCTCCTCTTCTCTGGCCACAGCTGCGTCCCGAGGGAACTGGGCTGCACCACCTTGCAACCCCCCAGCTGCCCCAGTCTCTTGGGCAGGACACCTTGTGAGCCTGTGGGGAGAGGCCTTGCCAGGACAACTGTACCCAGGGCAGGCGAGAGGACATAGACTCCGGGAGCAGGAAAAGCTGGGGCTCAGGGCACCCCAAGAAGACAGGAGGCCCAGGAGGGGAGGGGAAGATGCCACTTTATGGTGGCTTCGTGCTTAGACAGCTGTGCTGTCTCCTGTCTCCCAGACCACCCAGGCATGGGGCAGGGCAGGGAGGGCCTCTCAGGTTCCCTAGCAGCACAGGAGTTCATGGGACTGCTGAGAGGAAGGTGTGAGGCAAGGGATTGTGGCCTGAGGTCAGTCCTTTAAAGATCTCTGTCCCCTAAAAGGGGTAAGGAGAGAGGGAATGGGGGTGTATGTGGGTGTATGTACTCTATGGAAGACAATAGCATGGGGGGTCGCTCTTATGCACACACGTCTCCCTCTCCTTTCCCCCTTGCCCTTAGCTTCCCTGTGAAGGCCCTGGGAAGGCTGGGGCCAGGGTGGGCCCTAACAGTGGGGCGCATACCAGGAGGGTCACACCTCTCCAGCAGACAGGGTGGAGCTGCTGGGAAACGGGACCCTCAGGCTGCTGCAGCCTCTCCCAGGAGCCAGCGCTCCCCGCCCCATCTGAGCAGGAGGACAGACTCCGCCTGCAGATCCAGCACCAACCCCTGCCATTCAGCACTGGGAGCACCTCACGGGGGTGGCGAGCTGGTGGGGGCCCACCTGCTTTCACACTCCTGATGCACTGGCCTCTGGCTGCTCTACCTCTCAATAGTCACAGGATTTATGGCAATAATAGTAAACGAACATTCAAACAGTGTTTTCATCCTTTTTCATCTTCACACTTTCACATTTTATCTTCATCCTGATGAGAGAATAGGCGCTGCAGGTATATTCACCTCTGTTTCACAGTCAAAGAAACTGAGGCACAGGAAGGTTTGCCTAAGGCCACATGACTGCTTAATAACAGGGTGGGCAGATGAAGTAACTGGATGTGCGCCAGCGATGGCCTTTCCTCGTGCCCCCGGCATGCGCACGACAGCTCCCTGAATCCCACATTTTATGCTCCAGTGAGGACAGACCCAGGCATAGAAATTCCTTTCTCCCTCTCTCCGCTCCCATGTCCCTTCATTTTCAAATACTTAACTGTGGGCCTCGTGGGGGCTCTGAACAGGACAGGCGGTCCCAGTGCCCCCAGGGCGGGCCACACATTGGCAGACAAGTCCAGCAGAAGAAGATGCTGCGGGGCAGAAGCCGAGGGCCCAGTGTCTCACCACTCACCCCAGCGCTCGGCCCAGAGCTGCTCCCTTGTCGGAATGCAGTCCCGCAGCCGCCTGAACACAGCCTGCGCAGCTCTGCTTCCCAGTGACGGGGTGCTCTCCCCTCGCCACTGGCACAGGCCACCTGGGTATCAGACAGGTATAGAAGCTGGTGGCTGGAGCGAATTCTGACCTGGCAGTTGTGCTTAATTCCTCTCTCCCTTCCGTGGACCGAAAGGCCAGAGAGTACATGTATTTCCAAAATACGTCCTTATACCCCGACCCATACACCGAGTACTGGGCTTCTCATATATTGGCCAGGGCCACGCACCTGCATCAAGTGTCCACTCAGGCCTGTCTGGTTGCCGCAGCCAGTTCAGGCCTCCGTCTCTCAGCTCTGGCCTCTTCCAGACCCCATCTGTAGCCCACCTGCAGCCGAGCCAGATGGCACCCCAGGGTGAAGGGGCTTGTGGCTCAGGCCATGGGCAGCTGTTGTCCCTCCCAGGGATATTGAAACTGATCTCCCTGAGAAGCTGGGTCTGACTTAGCTGTGCTTTGAAAGCGTCTTCTCTCCCATGCCTGGGGGTCTTCCTGGAGCAGGTGGCCTTGGTGGGTCAGAGGTGCTGCTGCTGGTGGCAGGAGGTGGAACATGGAGGAAGAAACCTGGTGACCCCAGAAGGAAGAAGGCTGAGCTTGGAGCTCGGGCTCTCATTTTGTGCTGGGAGGTGTGGGGTTCAGGTTGCTCATGTGTGGGTGCAGACTCTAACCTGGGTGGCCCCTGGACCAGGGAGCCGGACACGTGGGGCCTTGCCCTGACTCTTCCTGCCATGATCTTGGCCCTTAGAGGGAGCTTGGGGTCTTGTTTTTCTCACTGGGGTGTGAGTTGTGGGCAGCTAGAGCTGTTCTGGGTTGCTGAATGGAGGACCATGCAGGTTTCCCGGGCACTCAGGGGAACCTCTCCAGCAGAGCAGTGCAGAGAGGGGGCCTTTTTGCTGGGGCCATGACAGCAGGACATTTTAAGTCTACATGACCACCCAGAAAAGTGCCCTGTCAACCAGAGCTTGAGGTAGCATGGGGTCCTACAGGTGGGCAGGGGGAGCCTCAGCTTCTCAGCAGCCATGTGGCCTTGGGCCACCCACTTCCTCTTTCTGGGCCTCAGTTTCCTCATTTATAAACAGCGGTTAGCCCTAGAAGTGTTTGGGTATGTCTTCCTGCTCTTCCTGTCTATGACTTTGGCAGCTCGGGCTGTCAAAGGGGAGAGGGGACAGCCTCCTCCAAGCACCTTCCCAGCGGTGGCCTAGCCAGCTACAAGCGCAGTTTTGTTAGAAGGGTCCTCAGAGTTCCCTGCCCTGAAATGTCCCTGCACTCTGCCTGGGTGCATGGCTGCTTGCTTTCTAGTCCTCGAGTTGTCTCTAGAAGGCCCCTGTTATGTGGATACACAACTTGGGAAGATGGTAATTAATACTTTTAATAATCACAGTAAGAAGAAAAATAGAAAAGGAAGGGCCCTGCGGCAATGGCATTAGGGGGAGATTTAATGGCATGGTCAGGTGGCAAGGTCCAGAGTGTCACTTAGGGTGAGGGAGTGTTGCAGGGGCCCGTGGGGAACAAGGGCACCCCAGGGTGGGAATCAAAGGGAGAGGCAGGCAGCCACTTCCACCTGCTTGGATTTGCTGGGGCTGAGCTCTGCAGGGGCTAGCTGGGTGTTGGAGGGAGAGTCTGCATGTGCCGCTGGCCTGTCTGGTGGCCCACAGAGGAGGTCAGCCGTCTCTGTCCTTCTGCCTCTCTGGTTCTTGGCTTTGCACCAGGCAGCTGTGGGTAACCTCATCAAGTAGAGCCAAAGCTCGGGAGGCTGTGCCATGGACCTGTTCCGCACTGCAGCTCCTAGCCCCCCTCGGAACAAGGCACAGCTCCTCTGGCTGCAGGACACAGGTGGTTCACTTTGGGACCCAGCCAGGTGAGACAGACAGTGCAACTCATCAAGGGGACATCCCCAAGACTTGAAGATACTGAGAGTACACATTTTTAAAATTTAAATTTATTTGTGGAATTATAAAAGAAATAGCCCATTATGGAGAGTTTGGAGAAGTTTCCACCTTCTTATGCATTGTGCCTCTGTTTTAAATGTAATTTTTTTCAGGAAGGCCTTTCCTAACCATCCTATCTAAACTGGGCCCTTTGTGGGGCCTAATTTTTTTTTTAAACAAATACTTACCTGGTCTTGGCATGTGCTAGGCACTATTCTAAAAGCTCTGCAAGCATTATTCAGTCCTCAAAACAGCCCTGTAATGTGCTCTTACTTGCTACTTTTTAACATCTACAGGGAAACTGAGGCACAGAGGGTCAGAGAACATGCCCAGGGTTATACAGCTGTCGAATGGCAGAGCTGGGATTCGACTCCCAGTGGTGTAGCTGTAGGAGCGATGTCTCAGATCTGTGCTCTGCTGCTTGGGTCGTGGCTGCAAATGCCCTTCACCTATGATCTTCCTTCCCCTCTGGACACAGCATCCATGCCCTGTGTCCACTTTACTTGGCACTGTGTCTGGCACACTGTGGCCCTCAATGACTATGTGTCAGCTGAATGAATGAATGAATGAATGACAAAGGGGTAAATTTCTCATAACCCAACTACCTTAGCACAATAATGATGATAATTTTGACAGAGTGTAGATTTTCACATCGTGGGTGAGGAACTGTTCCTGCCAGTCCTGGCGTACAGCCAACTGTGCCCACACGCTTGGAGTGAGAGGTGGGCCAGGTGTCATGTCAGTGCCTGGTTCCTGGTCAGCCTCGGGCATGGCTCTCTCTCTTCATCTTGCCCTTGCTCACACCTTCGCAGTCTCTCACACCCTCCTTATCTCTGTCTGCCTGTCTCACCCACTTCTCTTTGTTCCCATTGTGCCTGCAGCCATTCTCCAAAGCCAGTGGAGTCTGAGGACATGCAATAGTAATTTTATTTTATAACTGCTGTTGGGCAGTGTAAAACAAACCTTAGCACAGCTGGCAGAAAGTGTAGGCAGGTGGTCACGTTGGGATCCTAAAGTTGAGTTATCTGTGACAGTGTGGATCCAGAAATCGCTGGTGCCTTCCTCTTTGCAGTGGTGGTGCTAAGGGGTGGCTTGGGAGTTAGGTCCCCCTAAATTTCCATTAGGCCCAAATAAACATAGCTAAAAACAGCATGTTTGCTATGAAAATGCAACCTTGAGATGAGTCCCCAGACTCCACCTCCATTCACTGCCTGTAAGGCCCCCTACATACAAATATTGGTGCCATCACAGCTATGGGGGAGCCCTCTAGTCTCTCTTGTGCTAATTATCTTCACCCCAGTCTTTAATAACAAGTGGGGCCAGAAAGCCAACCAGTTCCCTGTTCAGTCACGAGTGATCATTGCAGCCCCCAGGCACATGGTGACAGTTTTCTAACACACATTGGATGGCAATGCAAAGCAGCTAAGGGGACCCATGAGACAGGGTCCCGTCTCAAGGAGCTTCAGAGGTGAGCTAAGGAAACAGCTTGTATGGAGGAAGAGTTACACGACAGCGTAGGGATTTGCTGACACCACATTAGCAGCAACGGGTCTATCAGAGGTGGCTGTGCTGAGTCAAAGGCACGTGGGGCAAATGTCAAGAACTAAGTCCATAGGCAAGAGCAATCCTGTGGGTTGGACAGAGGAGGCCAGGCTTTGTGGGTAGGAGGATCTGCCCTGGGGCTGAGGATGAGTAGGAGAAGGACAGGTGAGCAGGTCAGGTGAGGAGAGGGCATTCCAGGCTGAAGATGGCATTGGGAGTGGCCTGCAGAACTGGAAGCGCGGGCTGGGACTCTGCGATGGGTGGGCCCGTGGGCGGGTCTGGCGGAGATGCCCAGGCCAGCAGTGAGCTTGATGCTGGATGTCAGGGCTGCCCACACCCTCAGACAAAAGCTTGGACACACAGACATGGTATGCAGCGTACAAACCAAAATGGGGAAAGAAAGCACACGTGGGGCTGTTTCTAAGACACATTCAGTAAGATCAGAAGTGGGTGACCATCCCCGCCTCTCCCCCGAGGGCTAGGGCAGCACTCCCTGGCCACGGTGGGCTCAAGGATGGATTTCCAGCAACTTCAGGTGCCATAGTCTTCTTCAGAGGTGAGTCCAGGCCTCACCTGTGCTGGGCAGGCTCAGGTCCTCTGCTGAAATAGCTTGGCCTTGGCTTTGCAGGAGGACAAGGGTGGTAGAATAGGTTGGCCTGGGCAGGTGTCCTATTTAGCAGTCCCCTGGGCCAGTCTCTCTCATTGCCTGTTGATCCTGACAGGCCCCTGACCACCTGTGGTAGCCCAGAGATTGGTGGGGCCTGATTCAAACAATGGCCTAATGCTGGGGCTTACCTGTCCTCTGTCCCACCAGAAACCAATCAGTTCCAGGAAGTGTTTTCCAGCCCGACCTGAACCCTGCTCATCCAATACCAGCAGATAGTGAGCACTCAATAAATATTTGCCAGTGGAATTCCCATTCCCTACATCTCTGACAGCTGACTGCCTCCTGGACCCTTGCCCACCCAGCTTCCCAGCTTCCCCACCCTCCA